GTTTCCTGTCCATGCCCCGGGTCCTGCCCCACGGTGTGTGTGGGGGATGACCCTGCAGAGCCCTGGGAGTCCCTGACCTGGTGAGGGGGAGAATCAGCTGGGGAAGGGTCGGGACAGCTGCGGGGGAAGGGAATGGGGGGGGGTTTGGGATAGACAGGACTGACCAATGGGCCCATGGCTCTGCGGGGGGTGGGGGGGAATCTTGGCTCACACTGACCTGGGCGGGGGGCAGGGCAATCTGGGGCAGGGGGAAGGCAAAGGGGAGATTTTAGGGGGGGGTCTCTGGGGGTGGGAGGGGAGCTGTCTGGGGCGGGGGGCTCTCTGGAGAGGAGTGACAGGGAGCAAGTGGGTTGTGTGGGGCTCTGTCGGGTGGGATGGGGGCAGCGCTTGGGCACAGGGGGGGTTGTGATGGACAGAGCCAGATGCAGCCCGTGGGGTGGCTTTTGTTTTTTGCTATATTTAGCCCCCCAGGAAGCCCCATCTAGATTTAATGCCAGCCAGGGAGTGCCCACCGCCGCCCCGTTCCATCTGTCTGTCCCCACAACCCTCCACCTGGCTGTGTCCGTCCATCTGTCCCTCTCTTGCAGGGTTTGTCCAGGGCTGAGGCGCTCCCCCCACCATGGGGCTGCCCCTCCGCATCCTGCTGCTCCTGCTTCTGCTGTGGCCGGCAGCTGCCCCCTTCCGGATCTGCGCCTTCAACCTGCAGCGCTTCGCCGGCCCCAAAGCCGCCAAGGTCGCCGTCATGGACACGCTGGTCAAGGTGAGACGGGGGCTCGGGGAGCAAGGGGGGAGGCTGGGGGAGGGGTGGGGGAGTCAGTGGGGGGGGAGACAGGGAGGCCACCAGGGGTAGGGACAGAGGAGAGGCAGGAGGTGGTGGTGTGTGATTTGCATATGCAGATGTATGCTAATGATCCCGGCCCGCACAGATTGTCTCTCGCTGTGACATCGCAGTGCTGCAGGAGGTGATGGATGCCAAGGGACAGGCCGTGCCAGCGCTGATCAGCGCCCTGCACAGGTGGGTTATGTGGGGGCAGGGGCGTAGGTGGGGCTGGGTGGAGGGTGACCGCTGGGATCCCCCTCACCCCGTCCCCTTCTGCCCCCAGGTCTGCAGGCCCCGACTCCTACACAGCCCTGGGCAGCCCGCTGTTGGGAGCTGGGAATTATCAGGAGCGCTACGTCTTCGTGTACCGGTGAGTGTAGCCTGGGGCAATGTGACGCCCTCAGCCTGGCCTGTCACCGACCGAACACGCTTCGTTCAGACATGGCGCCAGTGAGCTGTCGTTCAACGGGCCGCCAGGGCCAGGCCCACGGCACAGTGGGGCTACGCTGCCTTGTTTCACCACGTTCAGCTCAGTTCCCATTCCGCAGGCGCCCGGAAGGCTGGTCTGGGACTCAGACTGTGGGCTAAGGGGGCTGGGGTGCACAGGCCAGGGGAGCAGAACCATTCCGGTCCCCCTATGACCTGCAGCCACTGCGGAACAAAGCCGGGCGCGTCACTTTGCGAGAAGCAGGTTTCAGGGCGTTGGGTTCGCTGGCTGAATCGGAGAGGTCCGACTCCAGCCTCCACCACAGGCAGCGTGACCAAAACACATGTGAAAGGACACGAACCATCGCCCGGCGACTCGGAACCGCAGTGCGGCCAACGTCTGCCATAGAAAAATCGATGAGTAAAATCAACCCACCGGGGTGGAGGGATCCAGCACACGCTCCCCCCCACCACCACCCCGCTCTAACCCTGCCCCTTACCTGCAGGTCCGGCCGCACCCAGCTCCTCGACTCCTATGTGTACCTGGACGAGAACCCCGCCAGACCGGATGCCTTCGCCCGCGAACCCTTTGTCGCGCACTTCAGCCTGCCCAGCAAAGGTGAGTGTGTGCCAGGACACCTGGGTTCTGCTGGGAGGGGAGTGGGGTCCGGGGGGAGGGGCTGGGAGCCAGAACACCTGGGTTCTGCTGGGAGGGGAGTGGGGTCCGGGGGGAGGGGGCTGGGGAGCCAGGACACCTGGGTTTTCTCCCTTGTAGTTGCTCTTCTTTCTCTGTATCCCCAGCCCTCCCCACCCTGGTGCTTGTTCCCCAGCACACCGTGCCCAAGAAGGCCGAGGCGGAGATCGATGCGCTCTACGATGTCTTCCTGGATGTCCAGGCCCGCTGGGGGACGGAGGTGAGGAGGGGGCCGGCCAGGGGCACTGACAATACTGTGAAAATGGAACCCAGGAGTCCTGGGGCTTCTAGACCCCCCTCCTAATAGAACCCATGTGTCTTGATGCTTTCTCCCCCCCTCCCTCCAGGACATCATGTTCCTGGGGGACTTTAACGCCGACTGCGGTTACGTGGCCAAGAAGCGCTGGGGCCAGATCCGGCTGCGGCGCGAGCCCGGCTTCCGCTGGCTAATCGGAGACGCTGCCGACACCACTGTGCGGAACAGCACACGCTGCGCCTACGACAGGTGGGACCCGGGGTAGCGGGGGGTGCTCTAGAGAGGCTAGGAGCTGTAACCCCCTTCCCTCCTCCCTCTGCAGGATCGTGGTGCATGGGGAGCGCTGCCTGGCACTGGTGGTGCCCGGCTCAGCCCAGCCCTTTGACTTCCCTGGCACGTTCGGGCTCACGGAGACCCAGGTAATGCCCGCAGCTCCCTGTCTGTGCAGGGACCCTGCCTGGCGTGAGAGACGCCCACTCACCTCATGCTGGCAGTGCAGGTCAGGGGGGTCTCTGTGCTGTGCGGGGGGGCAGACGGGATGAGCCCCCAGGCTGGGCTGGCAGGTGAATGAGGCTCAGTCTGTGACCCGGCCCTCCCAGGCCAGCCGTCTGGAGGGGAACCGCGGGCAGGGCGGGGCAGCGGCCTGGGAATGCCAGCAGCACGGGACAGAGCCGGGGATCTCTAGCAAACTCTGCAGACCCCCTCCACCCCCTGACCCCTGCCTCCTTGTCCCCTGCCCCAGGCGCTGGAGGTCAGTGACCATTACCCGGTGGAAGTGCAACTGGAACTGAACGCCGCCCCGAGGGGGCGCTGGCCGGCCGGCCCAGCACTGCTGCCCCTGGCCATGCTGCTGGCCGGGCTGGGGGACTGGTTCTGATCTCCCTGCTCAGCGCTGCCGGGCGCCCGGACCTCAGGGAACACGTGACCGGGGGGCTGGAGTCTAAACCCACCCGCAGGACTCTCCACTCAGCAAAGGCCTTTACTCAGATGCCTGGGTTCCCCACACACACACACACACTTTTCTTGGCTCAGGGCTCCCCCCCCAGAAGATACAGAAACCTCTCATCTCAGACCTGACAAACTCACTGCAGCAAATACAGGGCTAGCAGCGTTCCCAGGCCCAAGGCCAGGGGAGGTTACAGGACCATCTCCCCAGCTCCTGGGCCTGGCTGCCTGGAGTGTTCGGCTGGAGGGGGCTGGCCCCTGGGCGGGGGGCAGGGGAGGCTGGTTCAAATCCTGCCAGAGGGGGTGGGTTGTTTTTTTTTCAGCGACAGAGCAACTAAACCCCTTCATAAGAACAACGCGGAGTCCGGCGGCACCTTAAAGACTAACAGATTTATTTGGGCATAAGCTTTTGTGGATAAAAACCCACTTCTTCAGATGCATCGTTGTTTTTGTGGATACAGACTGACACGGCTACCCCCGATACTGTTGGGGACTCAGAACCCAGATGGCATGGTTTGTTGTCTGACCGCAGAGAGACAGGCAACACCAGCAAGGTCCAGTGACAAGCTCTTTATTGAGGAGTGCACACAACAATAGAGAGCGGCCCGTCTCCAGAGAGAACCAGCCACCGTTCTAACATCTAGTAGGGTTAGACAGACAGTTCCATCGCGTCATAAATTATTCAGTTAAAACAACCCGCATCCCACCCCCCTTTGTTAGCGAGAAACTTTTAGTATTCATGTATACCTATCCCCCTATACAAGCAGCCTTAAGCAATTCATGTCTCAGCAACTTTCTTATTAGCACGGTTAACAAGCACCAGAACTAGGAGACGGGGGGAATCAAGAACATACAAAGAACAGAAACAGGGAGTGGAGACAGTATGTCTCCTAATCTATCTTCTGAGCACACTGTTCGTAGCACATCTGGTACAGGAATGCAGCTTCCCTCTTATCTCATTTTTTCAGCTTAAACAACTATGTCTTCGATTCTGCCTGGGGACTACCCAGAAACCTCTGTTGGCCTAATTCTGGTTAGGTTGGCATAACTGCTCTACAATTTTCTTTTGGGGCCTAACAACCCCCCCTTTGTCCCTAGAGTACCTTAAAAGGACTCTTGGGACATACTGGCTGCAACTCTTACTGAGTTTTGAACTAATTACTGCTGGGTGGAGCACAACTTGGTGCCTATCCAACACCCATATTGGAGAATAACATACAAAGCTATTAGGCCACAAATAATTACAACAGCGCTGCGAAGCAAATTATGAAGCCAGCCACCTATGTCTGGAACCCAATTAAACAGGTTGCTCCACCAAGAATTAACCTGCTCCTCTCCATGGTCCTTTGCTACTTGTATGAGGTGGTTTGCTCTGTCCCAGGTGGCGTTATAAACATCAGGAACATATACGCAGCACTCTTGCCCAATTAGTGCACATGTTCCTCCCTGAGAGGCCAGTAAGATATCTAGAGCCAAGCGGTTCTGGAGAACCATCTGCCTTAGTTTTCTCTGTTCGGTGCCAAGTCCACCAGGGCATCGGCGGTAGTATATGCCATTATCTCCAAACCCCCCTGAAGTTGTATTACTCCTTCTCCAATTCGCCAGGTGGCTCCGCCACAAGCAAAACCAAATCCTGCACAAACGCCTGTCCGATCATTTAGAGCCCGCCAGGTAGGGGGCGAGATTCCTTAACGTTTTCCTCAGCAGCCCTCACATTTCTGATTTTCCCTCTTGGGAGGTGGGCGCGATAAACGACAGGTGGCTCTAACCAGGCCAGATAGCAGGATCCACTCCATGAGGGAGGGAGGACTAGGGATGCTTTGTTGCCACACACCCCGAAGAGGGGTCGGTCCCACCGATTCCATCAGTCTGGACCGATTGGTAGGGTTGGGCCATTTCGATAAGAGCATATGCAAAGGGACCTATTATGGGGTCCGGGGGAACATCAGGTACAGTGTAAAGAAAAGCTGTTATAGGAAAGGTGTGAGGAAGAAGGTGAACATGCCGTGGTATTTACCTTCATCCATCTAGGAATTAAAGAGACATCCGGACCATTTATCATTTGAAATCCTTCCTTAGTGTGTGTAGAAGCTAGTCCACTATGGGGGGTGTTATAATACCAGGTGCACTGGCTAATCCCAACAAAAATGCTAGAATTAGCATGTGGTCCTTTTAAGAGGCACCAATGTCCCGGTCTCCTCCAAACATTTAAGAACCCTTTATTCTTAATTCCAGTATCACTCCAGGTTATGTTTAGAGTGCCTGAAGAGTCCTTCCAGGAGGGAGTCCAGGTCATGTTCCTTGCACTGAGGGAAGTAGGGACCATAGGGAGACCTTTTTGGCTATCCGCTGGCATCAGAGAACATACCCAGCATGGAGTATTATGTAAGGCTGGCATGCGAGCTTTCATCTCATGGGCAAGGCGTATAAAGGTGTTAGGACTGTGAGATTCTATAGCCACATGCTTCGTACCACCAGAAGAGAAAGGTAACAAATAATAAACAGATTAAAAACGTAAGACCCCAGGCCAGAAAACGGGGCCATCCTTCCGAGAAAGAGCGCCACCAATTTAAGGCTTTTTCAGCTGCAGTCGAAGTTTCAGGTCGCCCAAAGGGGTAGCAGTCCACTGGTCTCGGGCCCAGATGTCGTCTGCTTCTGGTTCAGCCAGTTCACGGTGGGATGAACGTGCGTGGCAACCTCCAAGTCCGACGTCGTCTACTTCTGGGGAACCCTTTACCCGGTCAGGTTCCCTAGCGGTGCTCCTTTTGACCAGGTGGGTAGCTCCTTTACTCGGATGGCAGTAGGGCTCACCAGAAGCATTTCAAAGGGTCCTAGCCACTGCGGTTGAAGCGGAGTCTTGTATGCTTTTACCCACACGGGATCACCTGGTAACAAAGAATGAACAGCTTCCCACAATGGTAAGGCTTGGGGAATGTGCAGAGTTCTGCTGTAATGTCACTAGATGGTGCTGCAACTCTTTTACGTAGATCTCCGTTTCCTTGGTCATATCAGTATCATTGGGAACGGATATTAAAGGAGCAAAGGTTGGAGGTACATTATCCTGAAAGGTATGCCACAGGCCTAGGGGCATTTCCAAATGACTGTGTTAGTACTCCAGATGCTACTCCTTTTACCTCATGCACACACAAATCAAAAGGCTTGCTGTAATTGGGCAGTCCTAACGCAGGAGCTCGAATGAGAGATTCTTTTAGTGCTTTAAAAGCTCTTATTTGCTCAGGGTTAGGATGTAAAGGTTCTTCAGCCTCCTCCCTGGTTAGTTCATGCAAAGGTTTTAACCATTCTCCAGCTGAAATAATCCAAGGGCGACAAAATCCAATCATACCAATAAAAGCCCGCATACCTCGCTTAGTGGTGGGAAATGTGATATTAACTATGGTTTCTATCCATTTGGAATCCAGACTACGTATTCTGGGACCCAGTGCATACCCGAGGTACTTTACCTCCTGCCGGGCCCATTGCAACTTAGTGGGGCTGACTTTATGTCCTTTGAGTGCCAACTGGTT